AACCATGAAACGTATAGGGCATGGTCACCTTGACATTGTCTCTGAAGATGGAATTCCCGTACCCCCATATACTCACCTTAGCTGTGCTCACTCAAAGCACCCTGCTCCTCTGTAGTCAGCACTGATATTGGTTGCGTTGGGACCCTGAGAGCAGTGATGTCATTCTCCCCATGTGACAATGCTTGGGTCTATTGATTGTCTGCTAAGCCCAGACACCATCACAGAGGAGCAGGTCACATGCTCCTCCATACATGCAAGTGCTGGGTTGTGTCACTAGCTGTGAAGGAGCAAGGAGCTCCAAAGTTGCTCAGGTAAGGTGCGTATATGGCATTGAAAGGGGCCTTTCCAAAGACACTGGGGGGAATGTATTAAAGCAATTGCAAGAGTTTAAGCCTCTTAGATAATTTTTTTTATGTGCAAATCTGTATTTTAACATGTGCGCCTGTTTTGACCAGAGCTTACATTACTTTTCCAACTGCATGTGTTTTGCGCCTGTTTTCATCTGCACTTGTTCTGCGGCCATGTGAAACTGGAGCATCACCTAACAAAACAATTGCAACTTAAGAAGTCCCCGTGACCACTTCTTCATGAAGTGACAGTTAAGCTATTTGCCTGGAGTTACGAGTCTTCATTCCTGGAGTCTGTTAAACCTCATTTATCAACAACATTACACTAGCAACATAAATCTGGCGCAAAGTGCGTCAAATATATTCCGTGCAAGTTCAAACACTCACAATTGCTATGATAAATTCCCCCCATTGTCTCTTTGCCTTGCATACACAAGGTGACTGTGTCTCATTAAAACTCCTTATTGGCTTTTATGAAACAATACTACAACTGTTGGGCCGGTTAACTTTTTGTAGACTAATATGTGAGTCCCACCAGTGTTCAATCTGTACCAGCAAATGACAGATTGTGATTATTTGCTTAACAGAATTTTTTTACATCCATGGCCCACTTTAAAACCAAACCCCTACTGTCTCTGCATTTACTAAGTACCCAGTGTAATTGTAGAGTGATGTCATAAAGTAAGTTGAATTTAATTTATTGTAATACCCTTTGAATAAACCAGAGATACTCCTGGGAGCACTTGTACCACAGTTTGAAAAAGCTTGCCTCAAAGCACGCAATATAATCCTTTGATATAGTGCAGCAAATATGTGAATGGATGTTTTTATTTGTAAGCCCAGTGTGTGCCAAATACTTTACTTCGTAGAAGTGTTTTAAAATGTATTTCAGATTCTAGTGTTTATTGGAGCCTTTTCCTATAATCTTTTAATCCTTTCCAGCAATGTAAGCGACAGACATGTTCACCTAGTAGAAAGATGAAAAATCATTTAAACTGATGAACAAAAAGACCCATGGGAGAGGCACGTCTAATTATGACCAATATTGGGCACTTAAAGCTCGGTTTTATTTGGTTAGCTTAAACATTTGGATTTGTTTATAATTGCCAGATGACCCTGGAGAATACAGAGACACAGTTTTCAAATACAGGAAACTGTCTACTCCCATCCTTCCTTTTTCGCTTTCATTACTTTTGCTTTTTTGATCAGTGCACAAGCTGTTCTGTCCAGCAGCCCCCTCTGGTGTTATTGTTCTGAGTTCAAAGCCAGCAAGTATGCAATTATATTGGGAGAGCAATATACTTCCTGCTTATATAGGTATATCAGGTAGACACTGATATTCTTATTTATTTATTATTTATTTCTCAGATCATCTTCACTTTATTGTTACTATAGCTCTGGATTGCTGTCATGCAATACTATTGCTTAATGCCCTTAGGCTGGGTTCACACCTAGATGTACCGAATATGCACGTTTCCCGCGCGTTTTTACAGCGATTCGCGGTAAAAAAAACGCGTGACAAACGCTCATTTCCGAGGGCTACCCGGCTGTATCCTAATGGATAAGCGCGGCAAGTACGCCCCAAAGAAGCTCCTGTACTTCTTTTGCGTTTTGTAGCGCGTTCCAGCTCGCTGTAAAACGCCCAGGTGGGAACCATGCCCATAGGCATACATTGGTTTTCACATATTGAGCGTTTTACAGCGCGTAGGAACGCGCTGTAAAACGCCCAGGTGTGAACCAGGCCTTAGTGTAGGACACCCTAAAGTGTATTTCCACTTTTACTGCCATTAGAAATAATACCTTCTTTGCTACCTGTTTTAATTCACATTCCTTAACTGTGGCCCACTTTTTACCCCTCACTGGGTTAATTGCTCGTTTTGGTCCAGCTGCAAAGATAACAAGGTTATACTCACCTGATCCTTGGAGCTGGCCAACTGTGACAGTGCTCACTCCTGCCTGTCTCTCCACCTCTGCAGTGATGGCATGTCCCTCGGAATCCTCACGTTCTATACACAGTGTATAAAACATGGTGACTCAGGGACCTTAGACCGCTGCAACAGAGGGGGAGAGAGGCTGGAAGAACTGTTCTAAGGACAAGCTGGCTTGGAGGATCGGGTAAGTATAACTTTGCCTCCCTATACCAAAGAAAGCAGTTAACTCTTGCAGTGCATGGGTAGCCCCAGTGCAAGGGTTAATAAAAGTTTTGCCCAGAGTTCTTTAACATAGTCTGTATTGTGTTGGCAGATCTCATTATCAGTTGTAAACTAGATTTGAAGAATGTCGGTTCTAACAAAGTCCATCTGCATTGGGTGCTGGCACTGTTTGTATACCATTGCCGACTACTGAGGTGGAGTGAGATACGGTAGCAGTTAGAGCCTTGTACATCTGGATGTATTACGATGGGACACAGTTTGGTGCATCAGCCAATGTCGTGTCTTTTGCAATTCCCTCTTTTTATTTTTCTTGAAAGAGAAGATGTATTGAATATATATTACCATCTCCATTTGTGTCCTGAATCAGTGGACACGTGTCCTGTGCAACGCATCAAACTTTGTGTTGTTGGTTGTAATACAGTACAAGTTATCCATGTAATTTTATTATTAGTATACCAACTGTATCTATAGTGCGTCATACCCAGAAAGATTCCAAGTTGTAATTGCTGCCAAAGGTGCTTCAACAAAGTACTGAGTAAAAGGTCTGAATGCATAAGTACATGTGATATTTCAGTTTTTTTCTTGCTAATAAATTCACAGACATTTCTAAAATTCTGTTTTCACTTTGTCATTATGGGGTACTGAGTGTAGATTAATGAGAAAAGAAAAGAATTTAAACAATTGTAGTATCAGGCTGCAACATAACAAAATTGAAAAGATAAAGGGGGTCTGAATACTTTCTGAATGCACTGTATGTTTGCTGGGTAAGAGCTAAAGGTTTTAGTAGCAATATAATACTGGTCATGGATATGTTGTAGTTTTTATAATTTTTTCAGTGATCATATATCAATAAGTATTCTATATGTTAACAGTTTGATTGCGTTTGAACTTTATTGGGTAACATGAAAGTTTTATTTTAATGCACATTAATGTATTATAATATAATTGTTGGATGTTGGTACCAGAAATCTAAGAGGGTTATTCACTAAGCTGTCGAAGGCAGCCGAGGGAATAACCGAGCCGAAATGAACTGAGCCGAATGGCGTTTGGCTATTCACTTTGCCCTGTACGGCTGATTTCAGCCATACATCGGCTACCTTCAGTCAGCCGAACATGCTCAGCATGACATCACGGCAGGCTCCGCCCAGTTGTCATGTAATGACAGCCCAGTGTCCTTGAGGATGCTGGTCTGTCATTGAATGACAACATCTTGGCGGAGCCAGCCGTGATGTCAAGGCCATGTCACGGCTGGCTTTGCCCAGTTATCAGTTGCAGGGAAATTAGTCTGCTTCTCCCCGCTTCGGCTGTGTGTTCAGCTCAGCCGAGTTGAAGCATGTGTGTTCGGCTCGGCTGCACTGTTCGGCTGCCGTATGGGCTATTATGAATAGCCCATATAGCAGCCCTTCGGTTCGACTGAACCAAAGGGCTCCGGTGGCCAAAGTGAGCCAAAGGATCAGCCGAAGCTACGGCTGGATCCTTCGGCTCTTTACTAAATAAGCCTCTAAGTCTTTTAAATAATCCACATATATAAGTAGAATTTACAAGTATCTTAACAAAGGCTAAAGATTTCTGTTGATATCTGCTTAGTCATTGTGTACTTCAGCGAGGCATGAGAAAAAAAACTGGAGACATCCAAGAGTCAGGTAACCAATATGCATAAAAAAGAGAATTTGCAGCAATAAGTGACCTACAAACTATCTTTGTTCCTGGCAATGATATATCACTTAAAAACAACTGGTAGGAATGTGGCGAACTCTTAGTAATTGTGGTGGAATTTGGAAACGCTTCACATTTCACCCAAATCAACATTTGCAGGTCTGAATATTTTTGGGCTGGGACACTGACCTATTGTCCTCACATGATCTAACCTGCCCGAACTATTAATGTAGAGCTTGAAAAAATCAGCTACCCTGCTGATGTTTATCAGAAGCTTGCAAGGTTACAGCTGAGAACACTGAAACAATCAGAAGAGCCTATGTCTATGGGCTTTTGTTCATATCAGAACTACTGCTTCTGTCCATCACACTTAACTGTAATGCAAAAGCTTCTTAAGCTTATCATACATGTGAAAATCTGACTATACAAACTTTGTACAGTAAAATTTAGATTAATCCACAACTATATAATATGAGGGCCTACTTAAAGCTGAACTTTTAGTA